CTTTTAAACTGAGATTTTATTTTACTCTTTTAAACTGAGATTTTATTTTACTCTTTTAAAGATTTTTAAATTTTATTTATTGGAGTGTGTGTGTGTACAACTGGGAGGAGGGGCAGAGGGAGAAGCAGACTCCCTGCTGAGCATGAAGCCTGGCACAAGGCTCAATCCCAAGACTCTGACATCAATGACTTGAGCTTAAGTCAGGCACTTAACTGACTGAGCCACTGAGGTGCCCCAAGATTTTATTTTTCTTGACTAATTTTCCCAAACATGGGTTCTGATTTCATTTAACTACTCTCAATATATAAACTGAGGGTGCTTCTTGCAGGTACTTTAAAAAGCTACAGATTTCTAGTCTGGAGGAAAACCTTAACTCTTGTCCAACTATCAGATATTATAACTACTGTGATATCAGATGTGATACTGTGATATCACTGTGATACTGTGATGTCAGAGCTATGACAAAATACCTCACCTGTTATTGTTCAGACTCCCTATGGGTCTGTATGCAGGAAAAACTAGGTCCCAGGAAAATCTCCCTGAATCTCTGCCTTTAATGATAGCCCTTCTAGTCCATGCGGGGAAATGCCCAAACAGACAGCCAGGGACCTGCAGCAACATCCCTCCCCATCTCCCAGGGGAGAGCCATGTAATTATAGGTAAGGTTTCATTATTCAGTCATCATTTATTCATACATTTAATTAATTCATCTAATAATTCCTAAAACTTAATAATTCCACTATGTAATCAGTAAATTATCCATTTGCCTTGGAATGCCCTCACCACCCACCTTGCCTGGTTAATTCCTACTCAGTCACTTTCCATCTTGAAAACATCGCACTTGAACAAAATTTTCCTTGTTGATTTAACAAATCAAATGAGGCTACCAAAAATGTTCTGCAAGGTTTTGATGTCTCAGAAATGGCAAGATTCAACAGGCTGAAGAGACCTAGGAGCTGTCCAGCTACTGAAAAATATGCTACATGACACCTAAGAGCAGCCATGGATCCTTTAAATTAGTCAAATGTCTCTTTTGTATAAGAAGTGATAGGAAGCCCAGAGTAACATCAAGAGGGTTAGAGGGCAGCCCTGGTGGCACAGCGGTTTAGTGCCGCCTGCAGCCCGGGGTTTGATCCTGGGGACCCTGGATCGAGTCCCATGTCGGGCTCCCTGCATGGAGCCTGCTTCTCCCTCTGCCTGTGCCTCTGCCTCTCTCTCTGTGTGTGTCTCTATGGATAAATAAATAAAATCTTTAAAAAAAAAAAAAAGAGGGTTAGATAAACAAGCTTGAGGCTTAGTAAGCCTCCCAGACATCATCCAGATCACACAACAGAACTGGCCTCCAAACTGTACAGGAAATTAGTGCCACCCCAAAACCCTATCAATAGCATCGTTCAGAGACGACAATGGGACAAGGACACTACCACACTGCTGTCAGTAATAAATGAGGGGAAACTGCCATCTTATGGCAACTAAAGTTGACAAAACAGTTTTATTTTTTATTAGGACTTTATATTGTTTAAACTTACAGTAGACATTCACTTGGGGGATAATAAGTTAACACATATTGTCCCAGTGAAAGTAAAGGTAAATATATTTTAAACTTAGGAAGATTTGCAACTGGTGATTTTGCTTTTATTCTTTTTTGATGTAATAGGAAATTTTTCAAATATAGTGAAGAGAATGGTGTGATGAATGCCATGTACACATCATTTAGACTCAATAATTAGCCATATTTGCTTCACAACACTGCACATGTAAATATTTCAGTATGCACTTCTAAAAATACCAACCAGTACAATTTTCCACAGAACTACAATACCATTTCTGAACCCAATAAAATCAACAATTCTCACACATCATCAGTATTCGGTCAGGAGGGGTTTTCCAAAGAACAATTAACATGAGAGGGCATACTGAAGACATAACCAGGAGAAATGAAATTTGCAAGTCTAAGAATCTATTATATTATCCCTATGAAAGACAACAAAATAAATACCTCCCTGTACACTGAAGAGAAATAGAGGAAATATTTCTGTCCATAAAATTATCAGGGAATGGGCAATGTAAACTTAAAACTATGCATGAAAGACCTTCCCCATAGCTATGTGTAGAAATATGTCCAAATGTTCTGTAACTGTTTTGTTGGTGGGAATGTGTTAAGAATTACTGAACCTGAGACATTACACCTCTGTTTTCTCATAGATGCAGACAGACCACTGTGTGAAGTGTCCAATCACTATGCAAACAGCAAGAGAGGTTGCCACCCCCCAAAGGGTGTGATCAGATGGGTTTTGGAGGAAAGCTCTGGCCAGCACAACTCTCTCCTTCTTTCTTCTCACAGCTGTGATATTTGAGGGCTTTGTGCAGCTCTGAGTCGAGGTCAACAACAATCCCTCAGCTACATCCTCCTCATCTCCCTCACCCTGTGCTCCCTCTGCTCCTTACTCTTCATTGGCCACCTGCATCCACTGGCAATCCACATTTAGTGTGTGTACTATAGGTCTTTCCAGTTTTGCCTAAAACTATCACTGTGGTCATGGCTTTCAGGTTCACGTCACCTGGGAGGAAAATGAAGTGTGGATCAGTGTCACGGGGCATCTAATTCTGGCATTTCCATCTGCTCCCTGATTCAAGCGACTCTAATCTGGCTAGGAAGGTCTCCTGGCTCCACTAACACATACACTCTGAGCCGAGATATTCAATCCATTCCAAAATTCTACCAATATTTCCCTACCAGGCGTGCAGTGGATCTCCTTTTACATTCCATTTCTCAAATCACTTCTCTGTCACCAAGCTTTAATTCATTTTCTCTATTTTCCTGTTACAAAAGTCTTTCCCACACTCCAGTCTTGAACAAGTCTTTCTACTTTTCCCTCAGCATTCCTAAAGGTTAGTTTACAGCTTTATATCTTCTACTCCTCTGGAATTCACTATCAAGAATTGCAAGAAACTAACATTCCTTTCTAAGGAAAACAACAGGGAGAGGGCTGAGTGTCACCTGTTTCTGAAGCTCCCCCTGAGGGCATCCACATGACCAGAGGCGGAGGGACAACTGAGCCCAGGACTCCAAGGGCAGAACTGGAGCGATTTTTCAGGCCCAGGAACCTGGCTTTTGGGGAGTCCCACAGGAGTGGTACAGCAAGCAGGCAAATTAGGCTGGGGACTTCTGGATAGCCACAGGATACCTGGGGCATGTGCAGTGGCATGTGGGCATTAAAGGGGCTTCCAAAACCTCAGGGGATGCCAGCATACCCAGTACAGGCACTCAGGTGAGTGATACACTTCCATTTTTCAAGAGACAACACGATTCAAATAAGGGGAAGGTTTCGATTTTTATTAGGACTTTATATTGTTTAAACTTACAGTAGACATTCACTTGGGGGATGATAAGTTAATGAATATTATCCCAGTGAAAGTAAAGGTAAACATATTTTAAACTTAGGAGGATTTGCCATTGGATTTTGCTTTTATTCTTTTTTGATGCAATAGGAAATTTTTCAAATATAGTGAAGAGAATGGTGCTACCAGAAAGAATATAGTCCACCAAGAACTGAGCAGGTGCTGATTTTTCTTTTTTTTTTTTTTTTTTTTTTTTTAGAATAAATGATCATTGTCCAGTGGTATTTGGGTCAGATATGTGGGTGTAGCTCAAAGAACCAAACTAGGAAGAACGAAACATGAGCTGCGGAGCCATGGAGCTGGTGTTGAGACCACCACACAACAGGGCCTATTGCATAGGCCAGACCACTGAGGCCTGAGAGCAGTGCAGGGAAGTCAAGGTCTCCAGTTAACTTCATCTAGCACCACCCACACCCACCCCATTTATAGATGGGTGAACTGAAGCCAGGGTAAGGGGTCTGACTTAGCTGTGCTTTCCCAACATGCAAGCCATGTATGAAATAGCACCAAGAACACAGCTAGGTATAGGCTGAAGGAGCATCCTGAATAGAAAAATAACCTGAGAGGAAAGCAGGGTTGATGGTACAGAGACTCTTGTCTTCAGATGATTCCTGTTTCCCGGTCTCCATGTACCATGTTCTCCAGAGTCCAAGATCTCCTCCAAGTGGACTTTTAGTGATATTAGGATTGAAGCCCTTGAGGAAGGATTTTATTATCTCAGGAACAGACGAGTCAGCAAGGTAGGAACAAGAAAAGGGGGCCACATCAGAGAAGTGGTCAGGAGCCTAAAAGTGTGCAGGCCCCAAATGGGAACTTTCACATATCTAAAGTACAATAAAGTCACTAGGTCAGAGAAACAGGACTCAATATACGTGCAGAATCACTGGCTGCATTGAACACACAAGAGGCAAGAGTGATGTATGGATACAAACCCCTGGAGGCTCACACAGCAGTCAGGGGAAGAGCCAGGGCCAGGACTAGTATGCCGAGCAGTGAAGAGAAAGCTCCAAATATCATAGATTTAGTTTGCAGACAGACCTCCTATCAGAACACATGTGTGGGAGGAAAGCAAGAAAGGATAACACAGGTCTTTGGCCTAATCAACTAGGTGAGCAGTACAGCTATTAACTCAAAAGCAGAAGACAAAGGAAGATTTAGGGACCAATCAAATGTTTTGGACACGTCAAGTTTGAAATGCTCATGAAACGTCAAAGTAGAAATGCTGAGCAGGCAGGCTGGGATGCAAGCTTGGGAGACACGAGCAAAGACAGCACCACAATTGCAGAGGGGGAAAAGGCCACCTGATTCCAAGCAAAGGAAGTCCTGGGAGTATCTCCTGCAGCAGCCAAGGTCCAGAGAGGTCATCTACTGAGGGTCAACTCAGGTCTTCCGCCAGGATTATTAGGACAAGAAGCTCTCTGCTCCGAAGAAGAAAGCCTGGCCTTCTGGGAGCTACACTGGCTCCCTAGGGAGGACACATGCTCAGGAATGAAGGTAAAACAAAGGATCAAGCACCCTAGTGAGCCTAGAACCCAGCCAGCCCAGACACCTGCCTCTTCTGTATTTATTTAACAGACGTTAGCACATGAATTCACTGATCCATTTTTACAAAAAATAGTTTTATTAGAGCAACATGATATTATGATATAAAGCACTACACCATTTGACACAAAGTTCTTTTATAAGTGAGCACCAGTGTACAGTTCTATAGCTTCCTCCGTGGTCCTTACTACAAACAGCTGCCTAACCTCAGCCTAAAGATGAAGTGCAACATTCTTTCTACAATATGCTGAACACTCACTTCAGTTTATTGTAGAAATTTCCTAAACAGACATCCTTCTTGTCGCGGGATGGACATTTCATCTGAAAACTTACAAACGGTCTTGTGCTTATCTGACAGTACCCGATAGGCTGGTTCCACATCCGTCCCACAGCCATGGCACCAGATCCACTGGGCAGCCATGGACGGACTAACCTCACGTCTGTCCAGCAGAGCATTCCCGGAGAGGCTCCACACAAGACAAACCCCCACACCACCCAGGCAGGGGAAGTGTTCCAGCATGGAAGTCAGGCTAAAAGAAATTGAACCTGAACTCTTCATCAGGGGTATCCTGGGTGGCCTTGGCTACACCTGCCTGGCGAGGCCTGCAGACCCTTCCGCTCTTCTTTCTGGTGGCCTCACCTACAGGCTGCACCTGCGCCGTGCGGGCCGCTGTGGGGGAGGGGACAAAGTGTCGGAACAGAGTAGTAACCGCTAACATTACCCTGGCCATTCACCTCGAATCTCTTGGGGCAAATCAACGGATTCATTCCTCAAAATCTGAGGGTAGGTGTTGGCATCAAACCCCACCCAGAATCACTAAGACCGGCACCCTGAGTGGCTCAGTTAAGCTTCCGACTCCATGTGGGCTCAGTCACGGTCTCAGCGTCAGGAGACCCAACCTCCCTCCCCTGGCGCATAGTCAGTAGGAGGGTGCTCCAGCTTCTCTCACCGCCCCTCCCCCATCTCTCCCTCCCCCTCCCCCTCTCTCGCAGGGCCCCAGCCTTTTCTCTCCCTGAGCCCTCAGGCCTCTGAGCCGACCCAGCCCTGTCACTCTGGGTTCCTCCGGTCCTGTCACCCCCTAGGCCCTTCCTCCGCGCCGCCTGGGACCACCGGCTTCCTCACCTGCCCTGAGAGCCCGCAGGGCGTCGCGCCGCTCGGCCTCCATGCGAGCCCTGTAGTCCCCGAACAAGGAGCGCATCAGCTGCCTCTTCCGCGGCAGGGGGGTGCTGTCGCTGCGCAGGCTCCGGATCGCCCCAGCGGCCTGCTCTCCTGCCCGCAGCAAGAGAGGCCTAGTAACCGCCTCCATCCCGCTGACGGCCCCCGCGGCCCCCGCAGCACCCACGCCCCGAAGGGCCCCTCACTCTGTTTCGGACTCGGTCTCCGCGTCCTGAGGCCCAGCTCCAGCTGCTCCACGCACCAAGCCAGCTCCCGGGCCAGCTGCTCCGCCTGCGACACAGCGAGGAGAGCGGCCGTGAGGCGGCGGCCGCGCACGCCCTAGCCCGCCCCGCGCGCCCGCCCTTCCCGACCGAGGCCCGCGCGTGCCTGAGCCTCCGCGCTCCGGGGCGCTTCCTCTGGGGCCGGCTCCTCTGGGGCCTTCCCGCCGCCATGCGCCACGGGGGCCCCGTTCCGGCTTTTCTTCTTCTGGTTCTTGGCGGCTCCGTCGCCCCCACGTTGCTCGGGGCGGCCCCCGGGGGCGGCGTCACGGCCGGCGGGGGGCCCAGAGCCGAGGCCGGCTGCGGGAGGCCTCACGGCGGAAGGACTCGCGGCGCCGGGCGGCGACCCAATGGCCCGGGGGCTACGGGGCGTGCGGGCGGCGCCTAGGCTTGCGGCCGCTGCTGCGTCTCGGGCCTGGAGAAAGGGGGCAGCGCCAGGGTCAAGGCGGGCCGCGCGCGGCGGGACCCCGGCGCCCCCGCGCTCACTGGGCACCGCTCACCGCCATGCGCCGCTCTCGCCGCGGAACGCCCGAGCTTCCCGCCGAACCACCTCCTCCGCCAACGCGGCTGCGGCACCGAGTTCCGCGGGGCACGGACCGGCGGGGAGGGGCGGGGGCGGGGCTACGGGGGGCGGGGGCGGGGCTGGGAGATGGGCGGGCGGGGGCGGGGACTGCAGGCTCAGGCCTCGCAACGGCCGCTGGGACCCAGCGCAGGTTGCGAAGGGGCCCCCGGGGCCGTGTTCTCGCGCCACCTACTGCGTTGCAGGCACCGCTCAGGAAGCAAAGACAGGGGAACGCTCGACAGCTCGCCTGGTGGGCGGGGAAAAGCCGTCCCAGAGAAGCGTCGTGAATAGCGGCCGAACTGGAGGGCGAGCGCTCGGCGGAGACCCCCGGGCAGCAGCCCGCGCCAGGCTGGCGGGACCGGTTGGGTAGCGGGAAGGAGGCGGGGCAGGGGCCGCGGGGCAGGTCAGGGCGTTGGGCGAGCTCCGGCCGTGCAGGCGCCGGGGCAGGCCCGAGGTCCGCTTGATTGTCAGCGCGAGGGGAAGCCTTTGACACACGCTGATCCGCAGAGTGCTGGGGTCTCACTCGGATGTGCGTTTGAAAGATCCCTCGGCTGTCTTGGGACGAAGGCCAGACGGGCGGGCGGCAGGTGAGGCTGGAACGTGGAGGGATGCCCGAGACGCGGGGGAAGAGCCTGCGCCCTTGCGGGTGGCCTGGACGTGAGCACTGCCGCGGGAGGACGCAGCAGGAGCCCGTCCGGTCTGGCTTGCCCCTCCCCGCCTTCTGCCCAGGGCGGCCCCCCACCCTCCGGCACTACAGACCGGGTGCCTCCTCCCAGCCTGGGGCCCCAGGCGTCAGTAGACGTCCTCGGGAGGAAAGGGGCTGCAACAGGACAGGAGCCGGAGTGCTGTCCGAGGATTCCGGTCGGGGAAATCGGGGTACCAAGTGTCGTTTCCTGAGGCAACAGATGGGACGTGTTGCCTGCCTGGGCTGGGAGGTCTCGAGGGTGTCAGTTTGGTCATCACAAATAGTTGGTCTATTATTTATTGCAGGGTAACAAGTTGTCACACAACTGAGCTGATCGAAAACAGTAAACATCTGGTACTGTTCCCAAGGAAACAGGAATCTAGCAACAGTGTAGCCATGTGGTTCTGAGTCAGGGTCTCTTGTGACCCCTCTTGAAGGGATGAATATCAAAAACCTTTAGACAAGGCCGCCTGGGTGACTCAGTGCTTGAGCGTCTGCCTTTGGCTCAGGTCCTGATCCCGGGGTCCCAGGGTCCACACCCTGGGCTGAAGGTGGCGCTAAACCGCTGAGCCACCCGGGCCGCCCATTGAGGGCCATTTTAAATGGAAAAATCACCAAAAAGCACAAGAATGTAAAAAGTGTAGCATTGAATATACTATGAAAAGGACACTGGCTTACAATATGAGAGCAGTGTCGCCTGCTCAACCTCAGCTGGGAACATGTAAGTGTACTGACCCAGAATTGTCATTATTCTGTGCATGTCCATGAGTGACTGTGAAAGCATGAGTATAGGTTTCGAGGGTTACAAGTAAATTTTAGCAACCAGGTGAATTTGCAAATATGGAGTCCTCAATAATGAAAATTGTATGGATCCCTGTGTGGCTCAGCAGTTTAGCACCTGCCTTTGGCCCAGGGCATGATCCTGGAGACCCGGGATCAAGTCCCACATCGGGCTCCCTGCATGGAGCCTGCTTCTCCCTCTGCCTGTGTCTCTGCCTCTCTCTCTCTGTCTCTCACAAATAAGTAAATAAATAAATAAATAAATAAATAAAATAATAAACAAATAAATTAATTAAATATTTTAAAAAATGAAGATTGTATATATAAACATATTTCAAGGTAAAAGTCATAAAAATGCACATAACTATCATCCAGTTGAAGAAACAGAACATTATCAATGTCTTTCAGGACTTCTGCATGTGTATACAACATAAGTATGGATTTCTAAACAATACTGCTTAGTTTTGCATGTTTCGAACTTTACATACATTAAATCATTCTATATGGGTTCTTAAGCTTGTTTTTCTCAATGAGTTTATGAGGATTATCCCTGTTGCAGCATGCCATTGTAGTTCACTGTCTTCAGTGAAGACGTGATGATAATATTCCACTGTATAAGGAAACCCAAGAATAAACACCTGAGTTTCTTACACTTTTTCTATTATAAACAATGCACTAGGAATATTCTTGTCTGTCTCCTCTGTTCAGGTATTTCTCCATATCTTGAGCAGAAAAGCTGCACTGTAGGGTTTTTTCACTTTCATTATAGTATACTTTGATGAAAAGAAATTCTTTTTTAACATCTGTTTTTGTTTTTTATTTATTTGACAGAGTGAGAGAGAGCGCAAGACTGAAGGGGGGAGCAGAGGAAGAAGGAGACTCCCTGCTGAGCAGGGAGCCCAACACTGGGCTGTACCCCAGGACTCAGGGATCATGACCTGAGCCGAAGGCAGACAGGCAGGCGCTTACAGACTGAGCCATTCAGGCGCCCTGATGAAAAGAAATTCTTATTTTTATTTTTTAAATATTTTATTTATTTATTTATTCATGAGAGACACAGAGAAAGAGGCAGAGACACAGGCAGAGGGAGAAGCAGGCTCCCTCTGGGGAGCCCGATGCAGGACTCGATTCCAGGACCCTGGGGTCACGACCTGAGCCAAAGGCAGATGCAGATGCTCAACCACTGAGCCAGCCAGGTGCCCTAGAAATTCTTATTTTTAACAGTATTAAATGTATCAATATTTTACTTTCCCCCTTTACGTCTTACAAGCCTTTTGTTAACCTGGGATCATAGAGATAACCTCCTCTGTTATGAATTTTAATTTTTTTTAATTTATTTATGATAGTCACAGAGAGAGAGAGAGAGGCAGAGACACAGGCAGAGGGAGAAGCAGGCTCCATGCACCGGGAGCCCGACGTGGGATTCGATCCCGGGTCTCCAGGATCGCACCCTGGGCCAAAGTCAGGCGCTAAACCGCTGCGCCACCCAGGGATCCCTGTTATGAATTTTATGTCTTTCCCTTTCATATTCAGACTTTTAGTCTGGAAGTGATTTTTGTGTCTTTCGTAATATAAATTCAGTTTTGTTTTTTAAAATATGCATAATCAGGGATCCCTGGGTGGCGCAGTGGTTTGGCGCCTGCCTTTGGCCCAGGGCGTGATCCTGGAGACCCGGGATCAAATCCCACGTCGGGCTCCCGGTGCATGGAGCCTGCTTCTCCCTCTGCCTGTGTCTCTGCCTCTCTCTCTCTCTCTCTCTCTCTTCTCTCTCTCTCTCTCTCTCTCTCTCTGTGACTACCATAAATAAATAAAGAAAAAAATATTTAAAAAAATAAAATAAAATATGCATAATCAACTTTTCTAACCTCATTTGTGGAATTGAGATCTGCAGTGCACCTCTGTTTAAAGTTCATTTCCACATTTGCATGGATGTAGGCATTTTAACAATATTTGTTCTTCTAATCCATGAGCATGAAATATTTTTCCATTCCTTTGTGTCTTCCTCAGTTTCTTTCATGAGTATTCTATAGTTTTCAGAGTACAGATCCTTTACCTCTTTGGTTAGGTTTATTCCTAGGTATTTTATCGGTTTGGGTACAATTATAAATGGGATCAATTCTTGGATTTCTCTTTCTTCTGCCTCATTGTTAGTGTATAGACATGTGACTGACTGGGATGCCTGGGTGGCTCAGTGGTTGAGCGTCTGCCTTTGGCTCAGGGTGTAGTCCTCGAGTCCCAGGATTGAGTCCCACATCCGGCTTCCTGCATGGAGCCTGCTTCTCCTTCTGCCTGTGTCTCTGCCTGCCTCTCTCTCTCTCTCCTCTCTCTCTCTCTCTCTCTCAGGAATAAATAAAATCTTTAAAAAAAAAAGAAACGTGACTGACTTCTGTGCATTGATTTTATATTCTGCGACTTTGCTGAATTCTTATATCAGTTCTTGTAATTTTTTGGTGTAGTCTTTTGGGTTTTCTACATAGAAAGTCATGTCACCTGCAGAGTGAGAGTTTGACTTCTTCTTTGCCAAGTTGGATGCCCTTTCTTTTTTGTTGTCTGATTGCTGAGGCTAGGACTTCCAGCACTATGTTAAACAACAGTAGTGAGAGTGGGCATCCCTTTATATTATCAGACTTATTGTAAAGATTGGCAGTTAAGCAGAGTGGCATTAGAGATATACAAAAAGCTTTTTTTAATTTTTTATTTATTTATGATAGTCACACACAGAAAGAGAGAGAGAGAGAGAGAGGCAGAGACACAGGCAGAGGGAGAAGCAGGCTCCATGCACCAGGAGCCCGACGTGGGATTCTCCAGGATCGCTCCCTGGGCCAAAAGCAGGCGCGCCAAACCCCTGCGCCACCCAGGGATCCAAGATATACAAAAAGCCTAATGGAACACACTGCAGAGCTCTGAAATACATCCATGCAAATTCATTTCTCACCAAACTTCGAATTGATGAGGGTTTCTTTCTCTTTGTGTTTCTCTCTCTCTCTCTCTCTCTCTCTCTCTCTTTTTTAAGATTTTATTATTCACAAGAGACACACACAGAGAGAGAGGCAGAGACACAGGCAGAAGGAGAAGCAGGGTCCCTGCAGGGAGCCCAACGTGGAACTCGATCCCGGATCTCCAGGATCACGCCCTGGGCCGAAGGCAGGCTCTAAACCGCTGAGCCACCCAGAGATCCCCTTCAGTGTTTCTCTTCAAGCTTGGAGATGACATACTGTATTTCTATTCTTTTTTTTTTTTATTTATTTACGATAGTCACACACAGAGAGAGAGAGAGGCAGACACACAGGCAGAGGGAGAAGCAGGCTCCATGCACCGGGAGCCCGACGTGGGACTCGATCCCGGGTCTCCAGGATCACGCCCTGAGCCAAAGGCAGGCGCCAAACCACTGCGCCACCCAGGGATCCCTGTATTTCTATTCTTTTACGGTTAATCTTGAAATTTTAACATGCCTTCTTAATGAATAAATGTCTTAGGTTTGTCAATATTTTTACTTTCCTCATGAATGACCTCTGATTAATCCAGTTCTATTCACCCTTTCCTGACTCATCTGCTATTCCTCTGCTGACTTTATTTCTAGTTGTTTTTTAAACCTCCCAAATTAGACATGATTTTTATTTATAGTCAGTGTTTTTGCTAGCAAGCTGAAATAATCAGGTCAGAACACGGGATTCCTGCTCATGGGAAAGTATATGATGTGTCTTGGGCACACAGATCATATCTGCACCAGTGCCAGTCACTAGGTTTACAAAGACATGTTAGAGACAGGGGCTTCTAGAGAAGCCATAATTTTAATTTTTTTTAAATTTTTATTTATTTTATGATAGTCACACAGAGAGAGAGAGAGAGGCAGAGACACAGGCAGAGGGAGAAGCAGGCTCCATGCACCGGGAGCCCGACGTGGGATTCGATCCGGGGTCTCCAGAATCGCACCCTGGGCCAAAGGCAGGCGCCAAACCGCTGCGCCACCCAGGGATCCCTGAGGAGCCATAATTTTAAAAGTCCAGAGGACAAGTTCATACCATAGGTTAAGGCTAATATTTGGGTATAGAGAAATAACAAATTTGTGTATCCTTTCCTCAGTGGGAGA